TAGTAGTAGTAGTAGTAGTAGTTGAGGAAGCTCACCCGTGAACTATGGTTCACGGGCCACTTGGCATGCCTCGCTTAGCATGTCAGCAGTCAAGAGACCCTTAACTTGACAAGTAAATCTATTAGCTAGCTAGTGCACGTGATTCCTTCTAATCGTATAAAAGGAATCAGCTCCTTTGAGCCTTAGGGAGCAGACAGAATTCAGATACCTTATCAACCGAGTGTTTTGCAATTGCAAGTACTTTGACGACCGTTACGACCTTACGAATATATATTCCCAATCGCTTGGAAGCAATCTAACAATTATAATCGATCTTAATAAAAGCGAAAGCAAAAAGCAAAGCTTCCTTGAGCAGCTTTATCGCTTCTTGCTAAAGCTTTAACTATTCGAATTCGACTTCTTTTCTTATCGTCGCGTAAATTAAAGTAGCAATCGTAAAAAAGTTTTTAATCTAGATTCTATAATAAACTACGATGCTAATAAAAGCTCGGGCTTCCGATACGTCTTCGCACTTAGTCTATTTTAGTATCTTTTTAATTTTAACGGTTTAAAAGTAGCGTCTTTCGCTATCCGTAACGAATCTAACGATATTAAAGCTAAGCATGCAATATTAAGATTTCGTTCCGACGGTCGTCTTAGCTCTTTCAAACCTTACGAGCACTTTATTAATATTTTAAATGTGTTTTAAAACGAATCGTCGAATTCCGAGCAAAACTTTTTCGTAATTATAAAAAGATCGCGATCTTTTAACTTTTACGTTATTTATATAAAGCAAGCAAACGTTAAGAATGCAGTTTATAAGGATCTTATAAATAACTTTAACGAATTAAGCGATCGAATTAATAGCTCTTATAAATATCTAAGTCATCCGAAGCAATCTGATAAGCGTTTAAATAGCTATTATGTCTTTAGATTTAACGTCGAAAAAGAATTAATCGTATTTAAAAAAGAAGTTTAAGAGTATAGCTATCGTAAAACCGGCAAATTCGTTCGAGAACTAATCTACGTTCAAAGCAATATTAGCGTCTTTAACCGTTATACAGTTCATCTTAATTATAGCAATGATCAGCTTGTATTTTCTTTTTTCTTTTTTTACTATAATAAACTATTTGTTTCGATAAAAGCTTTAATATAGTTCGAAGACCTTTTGTTTTAATCGTTCTTTTAATATAAAGATAACTATCTTTTATAAAGCTTTCGATACCGTAAACGTCTTTTTTTGCTAAGCTTCGTAAAGCACCGTTTTAATCTTTTAAAGCGGCATAACTTCCTTTCGGACTTAATTAAAATAAGTAAAATCTTAAGCTATCGCTTCTTTTCGATTTAAAAAGCATTAGTAAAGCAGCTCTCTCTCTTCCGAAGTGACTTAAGAGCTAATCGTAAGTGCTTTAAATCGTTTTTTCGTCAATCTTGATCTAATCTTTAAGTTTGAAAACTTACTAATAAAGTATTCCGAAAAAAGTCTTTTAAGCTTAAAAAGTCTCGCCTTCTTATCTTGCTCAAACTAATCGTCGATTTTTCTAAGTATCTTTTTATCCGACACTCTTAAATCTATTAGTTTGATCTTCTCCGCCTTCTTCTTGTATATCGTATTAACCTCTATTATATTCCTTTTTAAAAGGTCCTTATTATTATCGATAATAAATATAAAATTTTCCGATTTATCGAGTTTGATTACAAATATTTTTAGTGTTTTTGATTTTAATAAGCTTTGCTTAATATTAAGTTGAATTGTTTTTTTATAATTTTATTATTTTTATGCCGATCTACTCGTAAACTATAGTTTACGAGCGAAATTTCTTTCTAAGCCTCTTTCTAGCTTAGTATCTATCTTAGCTTGCATATTAGCTACTAGTTTCCCGAGTCTTCGACCAAATCCGACTTGTCTTTTACAATAGTAATTTAGCTTTAAATAAATCGATCGTAATTTTAAAAAAAAGCTTTTATCGTGCTATTATCGAAGTAAGAAAAAAAGAATTAAAATTTTAAAAAGAAAAGCATGCTTAAGATAACTTCGTAACTGCTATTATTAATAATAAAAAAATCGGCGTAATTAATGATTCCGCCGATAATAACTTTAACGTCGTTTATTTACTTATCGAAGTTGTAAAGATCTTCGGACACAATAGTATAAACTAAAGCTCGATCCGTTATAATAAATAGTTTAGCTATCTTAGCCACCTCTTTGTTCATCACGTTAACTTTAAATCTATTATCGAAAAAGGATCTGCTCTTAACTATACCGTCGATATTAATAAAAACTTTTAAAGTCTTTATCGCTACTTCGAAGCAATTGCGAGCGATAAGTTGTTTACAGATTTGCGTCGCTAAAAGGTTTAGCTTGCTTTCTTCATTCCGACTTAAACGTCTAACAATTAAAGCGTTCACAAGAATAAGCTTACTTTAAAAGACTTTTACGTTTTCTTTAGCATCGAAGACTATTAAAATATAATAACTTAATAACTTATCGAAGCGAGAGCTAAGTCCGAACAAGTTTTTAATCTAAACTTCGATTTTCGATTTCATAATCGCCGCTACTGCTTTTTCTTAAGCTTTAATAGTAACGTAAAGGTTAATGAACTTCTCTCGTCTATAAGTCCTTTTCTTCCTTCTTTTTAGCACTCGCTAAGTGATTTCAACCTCTCCTTCTACGTCTTTTATAGCCTCGTCGGCTTTAACTAGTCTAGAAAGTCTAAAAGACTTTTCTTTAATTACACTATCGAACAACTTATCTTTTAAGTCTATTTCTATAACGGTATTCGATTTTTAAAAAGCACGAGCCTTAAAAGTGCCGTAGTTCTTCTCCCTCTATTGTCGGATATTCTTTTTGATTTTAATAAGCTTAAATCTTTCCGAAAGCGGAAGAAGCTTCTTAGCTTTGTTCTTCGCGGCAGCGTTAATCTCGACCGAAACAACCTTTATGCTAGATAAGTAGTTAAGCGTGTTAATCTACCTTATAATATTAATGTTCTTAATATCGACTAGTCTTTTAAAGATAATAATAAGCTCTTTTAACTAATTAATTAATTGCTAAGCATTTTAATCGAGCTGATACTAAGCTAGCTGTTAGATTAGTTGTTAATAAAAGAGCAAGTGTTTATAAGTCTTAAGTCCGCTAGTAAGCCGATTCTTTAAGATGTTGTCGTATTCCGTTTTACGAACGTTTAGCACGATAAATCTAAACCAAGTCTTTCTTTGCTTTTTTTAAATAATAAAAGCACCGATTTTTTTAAGTCTTAAGCAAAAGCGTCCGTAATCACTAATATAAATATATCTTTTATTAACTATATCTTTAAAGGCTTTACATTCATCTCGGTATTAATAAAGAACTTAAGTTATGTTTTTAAAGTTCTCGCAAAAGCTATAATCTTGCATCTAGCTCTCGTATCTTTTACTTCTTCTTCTTCTTCGTCTTTATAGTCCGTAGCCGATAGCCGCAATCTAAACTCTACTTTCGAAGCTAACTTTACTTCGAGCATCTTAAGCGGTATACTTAATAAAAACTTCGTCGCAGTCTTCGAATCGAACTTAAAGTTGAGATTAAATAAAACGTCGAGAAGTTAAGTTAGCGACTTAATCTTCGAAGTAATCAATTCGATTATAGATCGCATTAATCTGCAAATTAAAAAACTTCTTAATCATAAAACTTACCTTATCAATTTCTTTTTTTTCACTCGTAAACCGTAATTCACGAGTGAATAGCACTACTACTAAAGCTTTTTTAACAGACTTAAGAACGCTAGCTAGCTCGATGTGTTCTTTAACTAAAGTCCGAATATCTTTAATAAAATTAGCTAAAAAAGACTTTTCTTGATTCATAGCTTCGATAGTCTTAGCACTTTAATCGGTCTTAAAAGCGAATACAGCGAAATCATCGAAAGCGGCATAAGAGTCCGAGTCGAGTTCGTCGACCTTATAATACTTAATCGTTTTGTTTCGGATTCCGACGAGCAATTCGAAGAAGAACAAGCGGCCTTATTCGGTTTTGCTTAAAAAGTGCATTAAAGTAAGCTTTTCGAAGACTCGAAAGAAAGTGCGACAATAGTTTTTCAAGTTATTAACATCCCGTTCTTGCATAGCAAATTCTTATAAGAAAGCGACCGAATCTTTGATCTGCTAAGTATCGTTTTCACGAAACTCGGCTCTTAAAGCTTTAACGAAAGCAACTTAATCTTTCTTAGCTTTCTATTCGAATAAGCTCTTAATAACTTCTTTACGAAGGTTATCGCAGTAACGGAGGAGCTTAATAAACCGATCGTCTTTAAAGATACTAAAGTCATCACAAGTTTCTTCGTACTTTTCGATAAAGTCGGTGATATTAACACTATTAAAGCAAAGAGCTCTTAAAGCACTTAGCAATAGTATACGAATAGTTATAAAAGCGTAAAAGATAGCAAGGTCGACCATAACTAGCGCAAGGCTTGGTGTAAGAGCAAAAGGAGTAAGAGGAGGAAGAGGAATGGTATAGATCTTAAGACCGGTGTTGATTTTAAAAAGCATTTCCGGAGCAAGTGTTTCCGATAAAAGTAAAAGTAAAAGTAAAGGTTCTAGTTGAAAGTCGAAGTAGAATAAAGATAATCCGAAGCTCATAAGAATACGACTAAAAGATTCAATAAATTTAAAGGATTCTAACAAAAGAAAAAGTGATTCTGCGCCGACTTCGATGTTAAAAATCTTAAGAAAGTTTTCGATATTCTAAAGATCAAACATATATATATATTAAGAATAATCGAGTTAATAAAAAGTTTTTAAATTGTTTAATTTTAACTCGTGAACCGAGTTCACGAGTAAAATAAGCGATTTTCGCAAAGTATTCTCGATCCGAGATTAAAAAGAGTAAACCTTTTGCAAAAGTAAACTAATAAACAAAATCAAAACTATAAAAAACTTAAGAATCAATTGATTAGCTTCGCTAACAACTCCGGACTATATCAATTGCTTTAATTCAAGATAAAAGCTAAAGTATAAAAGGATATTTTCATTAATAAATAAAAATTCTTTCTTATTAACAATTAGGCTGCTCCATGGGGCCCCATAGGGCCTTACGGAGTTTTGAGTCCTCCCTACGGGGGAACCCACGGAGGGTACAAAATTCTGCCCCTCCTTATAGGGAAACCTTATAGGGCGTGGGGTTATTCCATAAGGTTTATATACATAAAAATATGCATATGCATAATTATTAATCAGGTTTATTAATCACATTTACTAATCACATTTACTAATCATATTTATTAATCATATTTACTAATCACATTTACTAATCACATTTACTAATCAAAGATTTAGAGTATTAGTTAAATTTACTAGTTATAAAGGCCTAAGGGTTGGTAAAGACCCGTTCTTTAGCTTAAGTTTATTAGTTACAAAGAGTTGATAAAGACTCGTCCTTCTGTAGTTACGTAGAATACGTTCAACTCGGTCTCCGCTTTTGGCCTAAGCTCTTGCTTATAAGCATGGTTTAGATAAATCTCGTCTGACTTAAGTAGCTCTCTTAGCTTTTAGCACTTGTTGTTCTACTTAAACTTATTTTCATTCGAGAACTTAAGGGTGAAGCGTTTGTATATTAAGGTGCTATCGATAGTGAAAGGGTATAGCATTAATAGCTCTTTCAAGATGCTTTTAGCTTCGGCATGATCGCTATCGAAAAGCTTAAGAGTAGGATCACTTAAGATCAATCGAACCTTGACATCTTTATAAGTGAATTGCTTTTTAATTGCGTTAAGGAAAGAGATAAAGTGGTCGAGGAGACAGAAGACTTGAGCGCTTTCTTTTTAAATAAAAAATCAATCAGTGATTATAGAATATAGATGTTATTATTAACTTTGTTAGCACCGTAGTGCTTAATGCTAAACTCGTCGATAAAATCTTTGCGACCTTTTTATTCGTACTCGAGGCCGATTGGTCTTAGAAACAAAGCGGTATCCTCTCCGTTATAGCAAGTAAACATTGAATTAACAACGCTACTATTAGCATAAACGATTACGAAATCCTTGTAGCGATTAGGTATCTCGTTGATTGGCTTGTTGCTATTAGTGCTAAAAGGGTTGACTTCGACCATAGCGTTATAAAGGAAAGGAATCGACATTGCTAAATAAAGAAAATAATTAGCTTGAAGCAAAGAATTAAAAAGCAAGAAATCAAAAAGCAAAGAATTAAAAAGCAAAGAATCAAAAGGAAAATAATTACTTAAGTTGAATGTAGTTGTAGTTGAGTATTAAGGTTGGTTGAGAAGTTGAAGTTGAGTGTTAAGGTTGAGAAGTTGAAGTTAGGTGTTAAGGTTGAGGTTAAGAAGTTGGGTGTTAAGGTTGAGGTTGAGAAGTTGAGTATTGAGGTGATGATGAAAAAAAGAAAAGGAAAAAAAGGGGGAGCGAGTACTTATATAAAAATAAAAGTGTAGCTTAATCGTAATCGGGGCATTGCTTCGATTTATTAAAGGTGAATTATAATATTTGAAATAATGAATCGACGCGGAACAAAGAAAATAACGCGTTTTGAAACAATGAATCGATGCGGAATAAAGAAAATAACGCGTCGCTTAATGATAATCGATGCAATGTTTCGATTCAACAAAAGTGAATTACAATATTTAAAACACGAACTCGACGCGGAACAAAGAAAGAACGCTTCGCTTAGTAAATCTGATTAGTAAATCTGATTAGTAAATCTGATTAGTAAATCTGATTAGTAAATGCTGCACGGAAAGAAACCTTGTATGCTGCACGTCTCTTTGTTATACGTGCTTAGCTCGGTTATAGCACGTGCTTTACCGTACGTAATCTGATTAGTAAATCTGATTAGTAAATCTGATTAGTAAATGCTGCATAGAAAGAATTCACGTATTTAAGGCTGCTATACGTAACTTACGT